CCTGGTTATGTCAAGTCTAGGTCCCACAGCGACCGTATGAAATAATGGCCATTTTTGAATGACCTTTTACATAGTTTGCCATTTATACTAACATTTTTGTAGATTTCTTTTAATTTCATTTGTGACTAACCGCATATATTCTCCCGGCGATAGTGCACCTTCTGGCCTGGTGGGAGGGGACATAAGATTCGGTATTTTATCGATATTATGCGAGGAAACTGTCAAACATTTAGTTATTTGATGTTAGGATTTCATATTTCATACATGTAGACATTTTTGTGAAAATTCGAATTTGGGTACATTTGGCCGATTTTTGGTGGAATAGCCATCCAAAACGGTCGATATTTTATTCAATTTTGTTTGGCTAGTCACAGAGCATATCTACAGAGTCATTGGAGTACATTTTGTTCCATAAAATACTTCAAATGTTAAAAGTAACATTTTTTGCCATTTTTTGCCATATTCGCGCTATCAAAGGCCATATCGTGAAGACAAGAATTTTTAGGGATATAAGCTATGCGGCATTTTATAGCTTAGACTTGGGCCTAAAAATCGGTGAAAATTTCAAGTGACCATGAAAGGCTAGTTTTCGAGCTAATGACCATTATGTGTCCGGCCAAACGGTAACTTTTTGGTTTTTGGCCAATTTGGCCACTCCAAATTGAAATTTTTGGTCCGTAAATGGCTTTATTCGATAGCTCACTTCAAGACCTTTCCAATGATATGCATATGTCTGGGGGGTGTCAAGTCATGGCGCTTCGGTGACCATAGGGAAAAAAGTCGAAAAGTGACTTTTAGAGGCCGGTCATGGCCAACATGGCGGCCATATCGAAAAGTGCCGGGACAAAAAAGTCTTAGTTTTTTGTGTACTTTAATCACAGAAAGTTTCAAAAAGATCAGAATCGAGTACACAAATCGCGGACACACATACCAAATGACTTTTATAGGAAAAACATATGAAATTTTTAAAATAATAAATTTTTCGAACGGATTGATCGATTTCGATGGTTAGGGAGTCGTTAGAAAGGTATCGAGCTCTAGAATTTTAATATCGATGTTTCAGGGGTCAACGACCTCATTTAGTGCCATCTATGGCCGTAGAACTGAATTTTGACCCTTTTCTTGAAAGGACCATATTTTGAAGACGGGTGGACCAATTTTCGAACTTTAATATTTTTTCTTGATCTATGGCCCAAGGGCTTTCCAACCATACACCAATCGCGGCTAAAGGCCTTCCAGGTTAGAATTTGGTAATTATTTGGACATTACGTGTATATATAGCGAGTTCGACTTTTCAACACACTGATGTGGTTTCGTCACTCGCGCGAACTGCCGTCCGCTGTGATTGCAAAACTTATTCAGTTTATACAATTTTGCAATTTTATTTGCAAGAAAAAAATATATGAGAACCTGGCGTGAAAGAGATGGCGCTTCTTAAATCGAGTCGCGTTGAAAGCCGACTGTAAGTGAGAGTAGTGCAGGGCCTACCAAAGTCTTAATCCGCCACTGATCGATACCAACACTCTTTCTCTCTATGCGTCATCTCATCAAAAAATCGCCTATACAGGGTGTCTCATATATCAGGCTCACTATGAAGGAGTGAAAATTTCTATAAACCCTTTGGGGGGTATGTTGGGGGTAAAAAATAGAAAATTTCTATCGGAGCAGAATTTTGAATTTTTCCCCAGGGAGGTTGGGGGTGACCCCAATTTTACAAAACTTCATCTGATCAAAAAATAATGTACTACAAAGTTGTTCAGAATGACGAGAAAAATTTTTTGGGACCCCTGCCCTCCAAGTCCTCCCACCCCTTAAGGGGGTCGGGGGGGTCAAAAACCCCCCAAGATGTGATTTTTTTGACCTGAAACCCAAAAATTCGGAATCAGCATGAAAAATTACCTTAGAATCGATATTTTTCTCATGCACGTTTTTTCACAAATTTTGGACCAAAAAAGTGTAAATTCGACTCCTCAAATCTTACAAAGTCTTCCTGATATATGAGACACCCTGTATACAGACATTAGGTTTGAGCTATGGATATAGCGGCTGCTATTTCATAGCTGATATTCATAGACGCTATTTATCTCGTTTTAATGCATTTATGCATATTGTGCGTTATTTTCTACATCTCTCTCGTACTCACATTCAAATGTACAAAAGAATAGTAGGCTATGATATTCCTACTCGGTGTTACACACAGCACACGAATTAAATAGCGCCTATGAATAGCACCTATAAAATAGCAGCCGCTATATGCATAGCTCGAGCCTAATGTCTGCCTGTATATCGTTTGCTCCATTGTCTTTACTCTTGGTAGAACATATCTGATCCGTCAATGCAAGAGGTTTATCAAAGAATCGTTCAACTTCATATCAGTCTTCATGAAGTCTGAAAGCAAACTTCATGTAGTCTGAAAGGCAATGCTCAAAGTTCTTCTTGTCTTTGTTGTCATAATATTCAATTTCGCTGTCTTTAATGTACATTATTATCGGTTTAATGCCTTTCAATTCTCCCATTTTTACACAATTAATCCACCGTTTTTTGGTGTAGCCATTTGTGTTATAACGATAACCGCCGACGATTGGAATTAATTCGGTTTTTATTTTATTCGCTTTCTCGGCCGAAAACCAATATGTTCCCGACACATCGATCAAATTTAGTCGATGATAAACGGTAAGTGTACGATATTCGTAGAGTATTCGTTTAAGATCGCATGCCATTTGTGAATGAATAGCCAAATGTGGTTTCTTTTCATTGAAGAGCCCGTCGAAGGCAAGCACATAAACATGCAGAATAAACAGTGCATTTATTGAAAAAACCGGATATTCCTTATAAACACCAACTTTACGATCGAAATTTTCAAGTTGAATATCCAAATCATGTCTAATGATCGACAATTCTGAGTCTTCTTGGATTGATTGGTTCTGTGCTTTTCGAGTTATAGTGCGGTCGATTTGCGTCATCGTGGATAGAAAATTGTGGACATTATTCTGCAAGTCCAATTGCTCGGCAGTATTCACTATCGATTTAGCTAAAACTGAATTGGCTCGTTTTATCTGTATATGTAAGGGCACCCAGTAGGGTTAAAGTTCCAATCTTTGGAATGTATGTCATCAAAAATGCTCCAAGTTTAATAGCTTTGTCCAAAGTATTGTACACAGAATCCAATGAGTTTTTTATATCTTTTTCGTGTGACGCCATTTTTAGAATCTCAAAATTAATCTCACTCAACGGTGTCCGCATCTCTGTAATCACAACCACGAAAGATATTATTTCAATGTTTTTATGTCAAGTCATCAATGAGCTAAAACAGCATTTTATTCAAAAATGTGCCTGTCTTTTTAATAATATCCCAATTCCCTCTCGCTCTCTGCCGCAACCACATCACCTTTCATCAACATTGGCAATGAAGAGTTGTAGAAATGTTATTTATTTTGATCACATAATCAAATGTTTCAGTTCAAATATTCCATATATAGTTCATTTGACACCACATTTTCGATATACGAATGAATAAACTTTTACCACGCAAATTCCAAACAACAACAATATTTTTCCTTGCGAAATCAACATTTTGATATTCGTCACTTGTGAATACGTTCTGATACGTTTCGACGAATAAACCTTCTTTTATTTGCAAGTTTTAATTTATTCAAAGGTATTTAATACCCGAATATCATTTGAATTTCAAAATTAAATTCTACGTAAAAGAATAACAACACTTTAATTTTTAGATGACGCGCAAAGCAATGGCCGCAGAGATGAAATTCAAAATCTGACTTTACGGGATAATTGGGGATTGCAAGAAAATTCATTAGTTTTTGGAACATCTGATAATCGGTGTGAAACTTAAAAAATACACATTTTCTTAAGTTTTTTAACACGAGAAACCCGAATCTGATGTTAGGTTTGCACACACCTTTCATACAAAAATCATACAATGTATGATATTTCTTATGGAATATGTAGCATTTTTGGAATTAAAGTCGTCAAACCTGAAGGAGGTGGCAAACCCATTTTTTCCTTCGTTTTGCATACTGAATCGAGTTCCGGACGCGTGTGTGATAGAGGTGGGAAAAAAAGAAAATCCATTCCTCACCGCACCCTATGGACTCACACCAGTCGTCATCCATTTTAGCTGGGCGTGGATGTTTGGTTTTAAAATTGATTTAATTTTGATGATTTTGCGTTGGATGTCAACAAGTTGTTTGCGTCATCATTTCAACGTCATCCGAAAATATTTATTATTCCGTTTTACGATCAATTTAAATATTCAAATGTTATTTTGCATATTGAACAACTTTTGCATTTTAAAATCGCGTATAAAAGCAGATTCATTCGACGAAGTTTATCAGTATAATAAACGTGGAAAATTAACAAAAAATTCGTTCGCCTGTTCGCCTTTCAATCGAAAAAATGTTCACTGCGTTATTTTTGTGGTTGGTGATTTGCGAGGTAATTACTAATTACCTCCTTTAAAGGATCGTAGGAGTATTTATTTTAGTTATAAGCCCCAAGAACATTTTTCGAATATTGGAATTGAATTATTTTGTGAAAATAAAATGTTTTGATTCAAAAATTAGATTCATACTTTCGGCTTTGTAGTTAATTTGCCTTTGAATTAAATAGTTTTATGAAAGTCTTGAAAGATCCTTGAAATGAATAATAATGGTGATTGTTGTTTTTTAAAAGCCATAAACAAAGAAACACTTTTAGCCCATTTAGCTAGCTAACGTACTGTCAGCTCAACTGACCAGTTGGTTCAATATATTTTCTGGTGAAAAGTGACAGAACATACTGATTTTGTATTTAAAAAATCGACCACGTAAATTTCGTGGGATAATTGGTGTCATTTTCCATTTTCATCTTCGTAAAAGAATCTGAATGAGGATGGTTTGAAAAAAGTTTGCAAGACACCAAGCTCTTATGGTCTTTTATGACCTAAAATAAGTGGCTAGAATACCAAACCCTGCTTGCTGGTTCGGTCTCGGGTCGCATTCGGAATAGAACGGGATCTATTCGGTTTCCTTTCGATTTGTTTTATCGATTCATAACCTCTGTTTACCTCTATGACTTTGATCTACATTTTTTTTTCTTGCCTTTCTCTTCGCAGCTTTTTCTCACCAACGTGGACGCCACTCTATGTGGCACAGACAGAGAGGCGCAAATTTTCGATTCCCGTACCCCAATCAGTGAAATTCATTTTAACGTTCTCAAATTGGGTTCGCATGAAAAAACCGTAAAAGGTTCGCTTGAAAATGTATATAATAAAATGGATATAGCATTGAACAAGGGCGCCTTCTTGCTTACAATGGTCAGCACCGTTGGTGGTTGTTTATTTGGTATTGTCAATACAGCAATGGACAAGTCGGGTAAATTCAATTCGGTTTTAGCAAAATCTATAGTGAACGCAGCAGAGAAACTGGACTTGGAAAATAACATCAATCATTTTATGTCGACGATGACACATGTTGATCGATCACTTGCGCGAATGGCACAAAATCTATCCATACATGAAGATAGCGAATTAGCTGATATAAGAAATGATCTAGAAACGCAAATTGAAAATTTCGAACGTAAAACTGGTGTTTTTAGAAAATATCCAGTTTTTTCAATCAATTCACTATTTATACTACATGCTTATGTGATTGTCTTCGATGCGCTCTTCAAAGCAAAGAAACCACATTTGCCACATTCACAAATGGCATGTGATCTTAAACGAATGCTCTACGAATATCGCACACTTACCGTTTATCATCGATTAAATTTGATCAATGTCTTGGAAACATGGTGGGCTGTAGAAAAAGCGAATAAAATGAAAGCCAAGCAAGTTTCAATTGTCGGTGCTTATTCGTATAATTCCAAAGGCTACAGTGGATCGAGTGTTAAATCAATTGCTTGCAAAAAGTTGGGAGATATGAAAGACATTAAACCGACCATGATGTACATTAAAGACGGCGAAAGTGCATATTATGACAACAATGACAATAAGAACTTTGAGCATTGCCTTTCCGACTACATGAAGTACGCCAGACATGAAGTTGAGCGACTCTTTGATAAACCTCTTGCATTAGCGAATAAAGTATGCTCCACTGAGAGCAAGGAGAGTGGAATTGGAGCTAAAGGCAATTTGAATATATCCATTCTCTGAACAAACGCATTGACTTTGTTTCATTTTATAGGATTTGAACATGTGGACACCAAAAAACATATTCAATTAGCACAATAAATGGTGTTTAATTTGACCGTCAAATTGACTGAATCGTCTTCGAACTTATAATGGAAATTCAAAAAAATATATTACTTGTGCAAATATCAACAAAATAAAACAATTTTCAAATGAAGCCCGGTAGTTTTTATGGTTTCGAGAATAGTATCATGGTGCCCGAGTAAATTTACAAGTAAATTGTCCAAAGTTGACAAATTTGATAGTCCCAATACAATATCGAGTATGCTTATCACATATTAATCGTATTTAAAATGAGAAGTAATTTGCATTCATTTGAAATTCAAAATTTCACCATTACCTTGTGGATGACGTTTATCGAACAATCAATATTCATCCAGTCAATAGTTTTCGGGGCATGACCTACTATTCTACTGTACATTTGAATGAGAATGTATACAAACGAGAGAGATGATGAAAATAATGCACAACATGCAGAAAACAAAGATCGCACACAGCACATGAGTTAAATAGCACCTATGAAATAACAGCCGCTATATTCATAGCTGAAAACTATTGACTCTATTCATCAATCGTTATCAAGAAAGATTGCTCTTTGAATACTGAATAAAATTGTATCAAATATAAGTGAAATAGACTTTTGAGGGGAAAATTCCACGCACGAGGAAAAATGAATACCTAGGGAAAATACCGCAATCATACACACAGAGAAATATTCAATGAAAACTAGATGATATGCCATCTAAAATTGTATTTGTCCATCTTATTTCATACAAAATATCGTTTTTGCGTATTCTCTTTTCTACAGTTCTTCTTCGTTTATGTTTTGCGGAAATTTTTTAGGGGGTCGTTGTGAAATTTCGTAGGGAATCCCCCCGGCCGAATCCATAGGAGTTCCTCACAAGAGTCACTTTTATCTAGTATATAAGGGAGAATGACAAAAGCCGAGAGAAGGGCAAAAGCTCGATCAAAAAAAAAAATATTCCACTCGGAAAAAATTTATGATTCTCAAAAGGCTCAAAAATCTCTAGCAAAACGAAATAATCTAGGATCCCTAAGAATGTTTTTTGTTTTTATTCGAGCTCTAGGACTGCAATACTCTTTGTAAACACTCCATTTTTTGAATGAGCAAATAATACTTCGTAATTTCGAAGTTTCATTCTGGAGAAATAGTATTCTCCAAAGCATCATATTAAACGTTAATTTCCCTATTGATAAAAGCATGAAGTAAAATTAGAATAAAATTATAATTCTGTATTACTTGGAACTAGATGTAGATTTGCATATTCAATACCGAATTGTCATATAAAAAGAGCTTCATTCGATGGGAGGCTGTCAGTATATTTGAAAATTAAGAACATCTTTTCAAAGAAATTGAAGGAAATTTCCTATACTTATCGAAGAAAAATGAGTAAAGTGTTGGTGATGTTATTTTTTTGCTTCTCGATTTGCAAAGTAAACATCAAGAAAGTTTAATTTGTGCTAAAAATCCAAGAAATGTATATTTTTCCTTACAGCTTGATGCTGAAATTTTAGATTTTCTCAGAATGAATGGCATAAATTGCAGGGAACAAAATGATTTTCCGGTCAGTCAAATTAAATTTAATATTCTGACAACGGCCACACATGAGCAACATAAAAAAGTCATTGGATTCAATTTACAATATGGCCGAAAGAGCGGTGACAAAATCAACATTTCTGCTGACTTTTGTGATACCGACGGTAGTTTCTCATTCCCCTTTTCAGTACACACTTTGTATAAACACTTTGACCTCTCGTCCATTTCACAGATTGATGGAATATTGGAGGAATATATCCATACAGTGATGGACAAGACGAGTAAATTCAATTCGGTTTTAGCTAAATCTATAGTGAACACAGCAGAGAAACTTGACTTGGAAAATAACATCAATCATTTTATGTCAACGATGACGCATGTTAATCGATCACTTGCGCGAATGGCGCAAAATCTATCCATACATGAAGACTCCGAAATTTGTGATATGCAACGCGACCTAGAAACGCAAATTGAACAATTCGCTCGTAAAACTGGTGTTTTTAGAAAATATCCAGTTTTATCAATCAATTCACTTTTTGTACTGTATGCATATGTGATTGCCTTCGACGGGCTTTTCAATGAAAAAAAGCCATATTTGGCAAAATTTAGCACAATGGCATGTGATCTTAATAAAATTCTACTTGAATATCGTCCCCTTTTAGTTCGTCATCGATTAAATTTGATCGATGTATCGGGAACATATTGGTTTGCCACCGAAAAAGCGAATAAAATTAAAGCCAAATTGATTCCGATCGTCAGTGATTATCATTATAATCCAAATGGATATATGACTCATTCGTCTGATTACATTGCTTGCGCGAAATTGAAAAATATAAAAGGCGTTTTGCCGATTGTAATGTACATTAAAGACAGCGAAAATTCATACTATGATAACGACGAGTGGAATAATATTGAGAATTGTCTGTTCGACTACATGAAATATGCCAGATATCAAGTTGAACAATTTTTCGATAAACCCATTACATTGACGGGTCAAGTATGCTCCACCAAAAGAAAAGAAAGTGAAATTGATGCCAAAGGTAATTTGAACGTTTTCATTTTTTTTTAACAAACGCTTTTACTTTGGTTCATTTTATAGGATTTGAACATTTGTTGTTGACAGTATAATAATGTCGAATTTATCAAATTATAACTTAAAAGCACAAGCTTTTTTAATTCTAAACTTGATCTTGAAAAAACACAGATAATAAATAACAAGAAATACTTTTTGAGTATTTTATTCCATTGCAAAAGTTTTGAACATTAAGTAATAACTTATGACTGATCGAAGCAACTGAAAGAAAGCAGCTGAATTTTAGCCAAGTGCAGAGACTGTTTCTTGGCCAGAGACTGTTTCTCAGAGCAATATATGAGAGGTGGTGCGCTTAGAAGAACCGGGGAAGCCATGAGGATCAAAATATTAGTTTTCCTCCGGCTTCTCCTCCTCGCATATATTGCTCTGAGAAACAGTCTCTGACCAAGTTACAACCAAATTGAACTTTAGAACCTGTCAATTACCTTCAAATACGTTTCCAAATTCAGATGAAAGATATGAAGTCCATGGTAAAACAGCGGCCGTTGTGCATTGGCGATCATCACTTTAATGAACTTTTGTAGTTCAACCGGCAACTTGTTCCAATTCGATCCGTACAAAACATGTGCCATCTGTGCGTAATCATTTGTCGAACGATTTCCATAATAACAATAGAAATACAAATTGGCAGCGCTCACCAACAAACTCATACATACCATGTAGAAATTTAAATCGGGATGTTTAATAGCCTAGATTGCAAGACGAAATTTATAAAAAAAGTTTTGAAAATATTATTGTTTCCGCAGTGGTTACCATGTCCATTTGAAATACGCTGCAGGTCATGTGTAGAACAATACAAATCAATTGCGTCAAAAGGATCAAACTGTAAACGTTCGACGTTTCCCAGAAGAAGCTGTAGATAAAAGTGAATAAAAATTGTGATATTTTCGCCTCAATCAATGCGCAACTTCACCTCTTTATTGAAACGTGATAATGAATAATATCGCATAAAAGCACTTTAATTTGTTTATTTCCATTCGTGTTCTGAATCGTCTGCATTAAAGCTTCGAAATGCTTCAAGAATGCCTGATGAAATTCACAAACCGCAATGAAAAAGGCGAGGAATACCATGTTGGTGTGAAGATACAGTGAAGATGAAATGTCACTGAAAATCGTCTCAAAAATCCATCCGCGTAAAGTTTGCTGGTTCCACGGCAAACTGAATGAAAATCGAATTTATGGGTCAAGTTTCATCACCGAATTGATGCGAAAATGACTTACATGAATTTGAACGGGACATAAAGTGGTTGCACGTCAGTGAGCCCATTCACGAAATAACAGTATAGAGCGCTCAGAATGGCGAGCAAAATTGACGCAAGAAAATAACTCAAAGTGAGAAACTTCATTACATTTTCCGTTATCCATGTGCCTCTTTCATTTGCTTTTGCCAAAATGTCGGCGGAATCCTTAAATCGATCTGTTGAAAACGACCCGGAATCAAGTTCAATAAAAAAAAATTCATTTCCGAAAATCTCAACTCACTTTCGTCGTAAATTTTTTGAAGCTTTTCGAATACAATCGATATCTTGTGCCGAAGCATAAAACCAACAAGCAAACTATACGTTGAACTACTGTAAGCAGATGTATGAAAACCAGCATACAACACACTATTCAAATCGATGCCAATGAATTTCACAATGAACAGAATGCTGAAGATTAAACCGAGCACTTGAAGCACCAACACCAAAATGTAATTCATTTTGAAGAGTGAAGACCATTTACTTGCTGGCACCGGACACACACCAAGCAGTATCAAAAAATTTCGATTCAGTTCAAGCACTTTCATTCTTGGTTTTACTTTGAAATTAGTTTCTCGAGTGTTGGACTTTGAAATGACTTTTTGACCTGAATGAAAGTCAATTTCGATTGAATTACATTTCGAGTTTGGCCGTAGCTTTTTATACTTTTGAGTGAATGCTATTTTTAGCCAAAAGTAACCAGAATTATATGGTATACCCCGAGCATTTTACATTTCAAATCAAGATTCAATTTCAATTGTTTTTTTTTTCCTTCAAAGGAAACTTAATTTGAAGTTGGTTTGAGAAGCTGTGATTTTCCTGTCAATATTTCAGTGCAAATAATACCTAACAGAATGCACAAACCGAAAAATGTGTGTCAGTAGCAGTAGACTCAATTTACGTGTACTTATCCATTAACTTCTGGTAAACGTTTAGTTTTAATTTCAAGTTTTCGCTTTGTGGTAGCTTTTTCATTTGGCATTTCTCAAAGGGTGAAGTATTAATTCGAAGACAACAAAATTGGATGGTTAAAATACAGAAAAATCAATATGCCATTTAACAAAGAAATCGCATATGGTCTGTAATTTTATTTTCGAATGAATTTTTTCTACAAAGCAATTAAATGAAATCCAGAACAATTTCGAATGGTTTACATTATTAGACAGATTCGGGATTTTCCCAAAAAAACAAAGCATGGATTCATAATGGCAAAAGGTCAATTTCAATGTCAACATTGTGCAAAACAGCTCTAGGGCTACATAGCATTTTATGTCACACTGCTTTTATTTGAATGTTCGATATCGAACATATGTTTGTCACACAGGTTTTTCGGTGCAGATGACGATGAAGCTAATGAAAAATTCAGGTGATATTAAGTTTCATCAATGTTCAAGTCGTCGTGAATGTAAAGTGTTTTATTGCATAAACATCAGTACCATAGGCATTAGCTAGGGCATTAGGCAATTTATTGTAGGTGAAAAATAAAGAGGCTTACGTTCGCAAGCTGACTTTTCCGCATGGAACCAACATTTTGGGAATAAACTTAAATTACGGTCTATGCATGGTTGCAGTAAATTACCCTGAAAACTTGTGAATATTATTTTCTTATCAAAATAAATGATCACACCAAGTTTAAAGAAATTTCAATCAAAAAAATAGCCTGTTCAAAGTTTCACATCAATACGGTACCACAAAGGCAAGTCTTTCATACAAAAATGAAATTTTTTGTGGATTTTTGTATAAAAAGTCTGTGAAAAATTGATTGCATCTTAAAACTA